TCTGTACTATAAACAGTACAAGGAAGCCAACTTTGTTGGGTGACTGTAGGAAAAAGATTGATTAGAGCTTGAAGCAAAGCTCAGGGGCAAACTATTAAAAAAGAGAGCAGTACATTACCAGCATGCATGGATTAGACTAGAGCAGGCATGTTTTTGGTTCGGTAACAGAAGAAGGCAAGATGCTTCACAGGCAAACAGGTCTCAGGGCCTGCAAATAAGAATGTAAATCAGAAAACATCCATGCAACATGTAACATAACACTTACCCTACATCCAGCGCATGGACACACCTGTACTCAGATTTTAAATGTTTGTAGTTTTATAACTACTCTTATAAAAAAAAAATCTGAAAGTGTCAGTTTTGTGTTTTTAAATAAATACACAAAAAATTTGACTGGGCAGTATTTGAGTACTGGTATTGCCTAGTTGTCAAAAAGAAGCGAGATACTTCTTAACCATGTAATCAACCTGAGAAATTGAGTAAACAAGCTAAACAGACCTTTACATATTGAGTTATTTAATTGTCTGAAGTGCTTGCCTTTAAATATAAAGGTTGCATTTTAATTACTTTAATGAAATAATGGGATTTTTTATTCATCAGTTAAACTTTAAAGAGGAAAATAAACACATCATACCTTTACCCTGGCATTTGTTGGCTCAAAAAGTTTTATTTTTATTTTTCTAAAAGAGCTTTGTTGATTGTTGTAACTAATATGTAACTTTGCCCAGATGTAGCTTAAACAGTCCCATACAAGGCGTGTTTGCAGAGATGGCCCTAAAAGTATAGCCCCCAAGAAGTCCTTACTTACCCTATGTTAATTGTTCTTCTGGCGTACTGCCAAATTTTGGAACAACTCACAATTTAGCTTGATTAAGAGCATCTCATCCATTTGACTCATAGAAAGAAACAAATATGAAGTCCTGTTACAAGGGAAATGTTGTGCAGTATGAAATATACTGTCAAATGCATGTCTGTAGAACACCAAATAGTGGCTGCCATTGAAAGGTATTGATTATGAATAAATAACAACCTTCATAATATTGTCAGAAGTCAAAAAAAATTATATAATTTTAAAACTTTGTTTAATTTGTTTTTATTCATTCACTAAACCCCAAAATTGTTTGATAAACACTTTTTTCTCATAGCCAACAATCATAATCAATAAAAATGTACAATCAATAACTACAACTACAAAGGGTGTCCTACAATGGTTCTATAATAGGTTAAAATTTGTTTTTTCTATTCCTTGAACGTTCCTTCCTGCATAAATCATTTTGAAACTTTATAATGAATATGTTGAAAATTACTTCCCACCTTATACCACCACCATGAGAAACATTGCTCATCAAACAAATAACAATAATAATAATATACTACTGTACTCATTAAACAGAGACAAACGTAAGTATATGGCCTATATAAAGTATTAATTATTTTTTCTTAGATAATTTACACTACTGTCTCTTTTGCTGGTAAGACAGTTTGGCATCGACTAAACATTATGGTCAAACACACAACACATGCATAACACTAAATGCGGAGTTCCGCAGGGGTCAATATTAGCATTGACTTTATATCTAAAAGTCAATGATATTAGGCCCCTTGCTATTTTTAATATTGATTAATGATTTTATTCTAAACGTATCGTCAAACCTTATCTTATATGCTGATGTCACTACGGCAATAGTTGGAATCAAATAATTTGCAAAATCTTAAAAAAGAAGTCTTTCTATTCTTAATATTTTATCCTTTGAAAATGCAAAATTTTAGGCATAGATATTGATAAGAATTTAACATGGGAAAACATATAAAAATTGTAGTTGTTAAATTAAATACTGCTTGCTTTCAAAATGTACGTTCTGAAAAATGTAATAGATTTGAAAACTAAACTCACAGTATACTATGCAATGTTCTATTCTGTCTTGCAATACGGGATTAAATTATGGGGAGCAACTTCATATTCTAAAGCAGTTTATAAAATTATGAAAAAATGTATAAGGGTTTTATCATTCATGCCTAAAAGAACATCATGCAAAGATTTATTAGCTAAATATGAGATAATAATTTTTCCTTCTCTATCCTATTTAAAATTATGGTGAATTTTATGTACAATGATAAACAGTCATCCGTATCCTAACAAGATAAAAAAATTCAATATCCAAGACATCGCCTATGTTTGTATGAAAAATCTCCTTATTATATGGGTTTAAGACTTTACAACAGTCTACCCACTAACTTCAAAGAAATTAACAGTATTTCCATATTTAAAAAATGATTTTAAACAATACCTTATAGAGAAAAATTATTATTCACTTTCCGAATATTTAAATGATATGTAAATGTATTTTTAGTTTAAATAAATGTAGTTTTTTGTTTTATTTTGTATGTTAAAGATCTGACAATGTCACCTGTTTCAACAGCTACGCTGGATTTGTGAAATGTTTTGTTTTGTGACAATAAAAAAGTAGTATTTCATTTCATTTCGATTTCACTGACAATTCCAGTGAGCCTAAGGCCCTAGCCAGGGGTGGCTCCAGGAATAATCTTTTGGGTAGGCCTGACAAGGATCAAGAAGGAGTTTGATCAGGGTACGAGAGGTTTGAGGGGCTTCCCTGCACAAAAAGGGGGAAATTTAAAAATGTAACTGCAAAATAATGGTTGTTAATGCTTTCCCTTTATTTACATATAATATAATGTCTTTATTTATTTAAAATTTTGGGTAGGCCCGGGCCTACCTGGCCCTAGCACATTAGTTCTAGCTTATGTTGAGTTTAGCTTAAGTGTACAGTTGCCAGTGTTCTGTCCCATAACTTGTATTACAAGGGTGGTTTTTAAAGTAAAGAACTGTTGCATACAAATCTGTAGTTCGCTTATACGCTGACACGAGGCTACTCTCCACTTTTTTTTACTGACATCATTGGTGAACATAATGACACCATTTGCAGCTATGTGGCTGACATGTACGCTTCGCTGAGTGTTAAAAATCTTTTAAAGAATCAAATCTCTTGCTGAATTTGGGGCTTACTCACGACTTTCTGAGCTAAACACAAAAACGGCCCTAACTTAAAAAACGGCCCTCGTACTTAATCACTTTACAACTTACATTACTAAAATAGGGGTACTCTGTTTCATTCACGGATATCGGCATTCAATAAGTATCAATATAATAAGTTCGGTTCAATAAGTATTATTATTTATATTTCTGACATTTTAAAAGAGTACTAAGTGAAGTTGGCTATCTCTTCCTTGTTAGTTTTAAAATATCACGTTCTAAAAATTATGCATTATGAATCTGATATCAAAGTTAGATTAGGTTTGACTTTGAGCTACAAACTGCATGCTATATAGCTAATCTAACAAAAAATTATGTGGTTAGTGGTTTGAAACATCTACATATAAAAACTCTTCATGAAAAAATTGCTTATTTTGTGTCTACCACTTTCAATTTATGTGAGGCTCAAAATAATCTTTAATTTTTGGAATGGAATGATAATACTTACAATATTGTTCTTATCTATTGTCAACCTGTTGTTAGAAAACTTCTTTAACTCAATTAATTGCAACAATGTTTCATTAAAGTTTAGAAACAAATCACAACTGTAACAAGAAGAGGTTTTGTTGGGATCAAACAACCGATTTAAAGGCAAGCACTTAGGAATCAAAATATAACCTAAAATAAAACTGTTATGTAATTCACAAAGAAGAACCTTTTCCATTAAATATGGTACCGTAGTAAATAAATTCATCAACCAAAAAATTAATATGGATTAAAATTTTTTTGAGTATTCTATATGTTATTTAACCTAGTACAAAGCAACAACTAAAAGCTTTTACACAATTAAACATTAATTATCACACTAAACATTTGTCGGCTGGGGAGGAGGAGGCATGCTTTTCACGCTCTAGGGACTAATGGTTGTATACTTACCAACAACACACGTAGCAATGCAAGTGGAAATATGTATGCAAAAAACTATAAAATGAAAATGTATAAACTGCCTTTCAAAAACATACATAGAACATAGATTATATACTTTAAAAGCTGAGATATAAAGTATTTGTTAAAGGATACAAGATATTAGTTGACAGAACAATAAGATTAAGATTTAAGATACTTCATTAGGAAAAGTGATTAATCTACTCTACAATGACGTATTGTAGTTTAAGGTAAAATTGGCACATAATTGGCACAGAATTAATCCTAAATGAATACTGATCCGCCACAATGAACAATGAATCAATGATCAGCACATGGAATCAATTAATTATTTCTTCTAAAATACAACCACAGACTATAGAGTAACGTTACTCTATGATACAACTATCTAACGAACAAATGAAACTACTATTAAAACAATTAATATCAACAAGAAACTCAAAGTGAAACTAAACTACGGTAATTATTCGTGAAGGGACAGTATGATTGTCAAAGATTTAATGATTCTAGTGGCGAAAAATATCACTAATGAGTTTGTTTGTGCAAAAACTATATTATTTAATGATGATAGAAGGTGAAATAGGTTTGAATATGACTACTATAACAGAACAAAGACCTAAGATTAGGTCTCTATTCTGTGCTACCATATTAGTTCATCTATGCTAACTCTAAAATAAAATTTAAAAAACTTTGATTAAAAATCATTTTTAGAAGTTTTTAGCAATTTGGGTTTTAGGAGGTTACCGTAATTAAATCATGTGTATTTAGTATTTACTATCAATAGGTAGGTATATTTACAAAAGTAAATCTGTTAGAATGAGAGAGAGGAATAGGATAGTTGGTTAAGATTTAGGTTTTATCAGTATGTTTAACTTTTACCTATACACGTGTTAATATAAAAAAAACTTGTTGGGATTAACTTAAATTTAATTTTAAATAATAATCAAAGATCTCTTAAGACACGTGTTACACAACCTATTTTTCCCATTAATTTTAGAAAATAACGCTGTTATATATTATGATGTAGTATATAAAATAATAGCGACCTATTTACTTATTGATAAAGTAATTGTGTTAAGTCTGTTTGTGAAGGATCGACTCTGAACACCATTGAACTCACAACCTTGAAATGTAAAGAGTGTTTGAAGTTGATTCAAACACATAAATAGTATGAACCAGGAACTCAAACAATAATAAATCTATTGCCAAGCAGAGATTCTACAAGAAATAATATGAATTCATAATGGGAGCATTTCTTTTCCGACATCACAGAAATTATTAAACAGTTGTCTCCTTATCGCTAATGACTTGAATGGTTCCATCCTCCGTTATTTGGATTTCCACTTTGGGTAAATCATCCAAGTCGTCAACAGGGTCTTGGAACCTCACCTTCCCCCTCCCCACCTCCTCCGTGACCTTGACGGGACCACCGGGCCTCGGAAGAGACCGTCTCGCGTTCTCTTGGTTGTGGTCAGAGACGTAATTACCAGAGTTGTCCGGGACATCGATCATGTTGGTCGGAGTCATCACCACATCACTGGGCGAAGGGGTCAGGAATATACTCGCAGGGTTGTCAGGATACAGCTCATACTTACTGTCCAGGCAGCGTGGGGAAACAAATTGATTAGATGTGTTTTAATTACTATATCATTGACTTTTGTATACTGAAAAAGACGTTTCATAAACATGGACCAGCTGTAGCCAATTTCTTAAACAAATAGAATATAGTCAAAGAGCCACTGCACAGGGAAATAAGGTACAGAGAACACATTCAATGGTGCACTTAAGTGGTGACTACAACTAGCCGCTGGTGTCTTAGGCAAGGTCCAACACCATCAATTCCTAACCCCCCTCGTCATCATGGACTATAGCGCTCACGCTGGAGGAAGACCCTGTGTGATAGAAACTCATTCGAGTCCTTGCCGCTCAGGCTCTTCCTTGTTTGTACCTGCACACAAACATACTAGAGCAGAAAGCACTCAAGTTTTCTCTGCACCTTACTCCTCTGTGGCCACTTACAGTGTTGCTGTCAAAATTTGATTTTCCCATTTACTTTTTGGTGGTTTTGTGAAATAAATATGCTTTAGTTTACAATAAGTTGTGCCTTTCAATTTGGTTTGGAGAGTAGTAATTTACAACGACACACTGTTGGTGGCTCAATTGAGTTATGTTTATTTTTAACCTAAGACTGGCTACAACTTAAACATAGAGTGAAATGTCTAGATCTATCCAGAATCCAAAGTGTGATGTTTATATTCTGGAAGTCAAGAGAAGACCCCTCAACTGGATTGAATAACAAGTAAATCAGGGGTCCTCTTTTGACCTACTGACATAGTAAACAACGGTAGACTAAAAGCCAGCGCACACAGAGACAGACAGTCATGAGAACGGACTCCTGCAGGCGGACTGAACACACACAGCCGCAGGAGTCCACAAGCAGGGGGACTATTGGACTATTGGGAAACATTGGGTGCATCCTATTTATGAAAAAAGAAAATTAATGGCGAATATCATCACCTTATCCAAGATTTAAAGGAGAACGAGGAAAATTTCAGAGGATATTTTTAATTATGCAAGAAGGAGTGTTAGGAAGTATTCTGGCAGCTGTTTTATCACCCTAATTAAAAAATAAGAATGTTGTCGTTAAGTGTAGAGACTCCAGGACTTGCCATTGGTGTCAATGTGCGGAGAAGAAACGTTTAACACCTCTATGGGCATAAAGTTCACCCAAGAGGCAATTCCAAAAAAATCTGTCCTTGAACTAAAGCGGACACCCGCAGGCGGAGTGGGTATTGTAACATTTGAGCGATTTTTAGTCTGTCCGTCTGCAAGAGTCCGTCTGTCTCTATGAGCTTAAGTGTTAAGTGTAATTGGGCTTTTACAACTAAAAACTCTAGTCACCCAACATTTGGAGCATTTTTAAGTGATTAAATTTCACAACAATATCTTTCATGAGGTTGTGTTTAGAGGAAATGTAAACAAACATAAATAAATAAATAAATTTATATATATATATATATATATACAGGGTGTCCATAAAAAACGTTTCAGGACTTTGGGAAATGATTCCTCATACTAAAAGGAAGAAAAAATTTAATGTGAAGGTACGTCCAAAAATTCATATTTACCCAGTTATCCGCCATTTTGTTTTTTATACAAAGATATTTTTATCTGTGAAGTTTTTCATTCTATGATTATGAAATTTGGTAACCATGTTAACATACACAGACCTATTATAGAAAAAATAATAAATTTATTCTGATATTTCAAAATGGCAGCTGTTTGAATTTTTATAACTTAAATAACTCAAAAACGGCTAATTTTATGAAAGAATGTCAAGAATACTTTTTTAGGATTTTTAATTCCCTATCAAACGATACCAAGATCACAAAGATCGGACAAAAGATAATTGAAATATTAAGTTTTTTGTGTAAAAATAACACAAAGTTAATCAAGGAACCCTTAATTTTACCTTATTTTTGCACAAAAACTTAACATTTCAATTATCTTTTGTCCTTTTTTTATCTTGGTATCGTTTGATAGGGAATTAAAAATGCAAAAAAAAGTATTCTTGACATTTTTTCATAAAATTAGCCGTTTTGAGTTATTCAAGTTGTAAAAATTCAAACGGCCGCCATTTTGAAATTTTCAATCGGAACAACTTATTTTTTCTATAATAGGTCTTGTGTATGTTAACATGGGTACCAAATTTCATAATCATCGAATGAAAAACTTCACAAATAAAAATATTTTTGTATAAAAAACAAAATGGCGTATAACTGGGTAAATATGGATTTTCGGACATACCTTCACATAAAACTTTTTTCTTCCTTTTAATATGAGGATTCATTTCCCAAAGTCCTGAAACGTTTTTTTATGGACACCCTGTATAGCTAGACCTACCAAATCTAGAACACTAATCAACCATTTGGAAAAATTAAATTATTATTTTTTTTAAAGTTTACTAAGATTTATTGGGGAATCTTGCATTTCAGTTTTTACCAACCTAAAGGCAGCTCCAGAATGTGCCAGATGCCAGACACGAAATATTTTATGTTCGGCGATCTAGTTGTCTTGCTATTCGCCGATTAACGTGTAGCCATCTACACACATGGGTTGTTTACCAAGCAGCTGTTCGTTTTTCGTCCATTTTGAGAATAGCAAATATTCCTTTACTTTGATGTGTGCAAAAATACTGACAATGAATGGGAAAACACAAACAAGAATGTTTGCTGCTTGCCAAAAAGGCAAACGCCTACCCACACTACTCGCCATTCGGCGAATCACTGCTCGGTGCTTGGCGAATAGCGCATGTCTGGAGCCGCCTTAAGATGCCATCAGCTGTTTTTTAAATCATCCGATGGACAAATTGGTGTCTATGGTACACAATCCATAATCACTAAGTTTGACCCTAAGGCCAAAAACTACTCCTGCTCCTGTCGATCAGTTGTTAATTTGTTTTATTAAACATTGTTGTAATAATATGCAGATGTTGTAATTAACATATTTTTGCTTGTTTACTTTTAACTGTTAATATTTTTAATATTAACTAGCTGTGTGCCCGTTCTACGTACGGGGATCTTATAGTAGTCAGTTGAATGTGACAAAAATCACACAATGTTGGGTTTTTGGACATTTGTAATTTTATTTCTTAAGTAGGTAGGCCATGTATTCTATGGAAAAGTACTGGTATCAAGGATCGTCGTCGAAAAGGTTGTTAGATGAATAAATAGGTAGGCGTACGTACCCAAGAGATGGGCTATGGGCCTATTGGCTGTATGGTTCAGCGATTGCATTACATTGTGAGTAGAAACAGAAAGTTACACATTGGAAAAGTGATTTTAGCATCATCCGTAAACCTCTGTTACAATCACCCACTGCAGTTGTGATTTTTTTACTTTACACTTTACACAATCGCCATTGAAGCGTCGTAAATGAGTGGAAACCTTGTTTGTAAGCTATTGGCGACGATCATTAAGTGTCTCAGCTATATACAACACTGATTCAAGGTCTTTTTTCTGGTTATCAAAACTCAAGAACAATTTTATACACAATGAATTTCTGGTTCCTGACCTGGATGATGCCTAGTTATTTAATTTCATTTACGGTTACACTATGATATTGCACTTGCGATTAATTAAATCCGTCATGTAAAATCGCCATTGAAGCGCCGTAAATGAGTGGAAACCTTGTTTGTAAGCTATTGGCGACAATCATTAAGTGTCTCAGTTATATACAACACTGATTCAAGGTCTTTTTTCTGGTTATCAAAACTCAAGAACAATTTTATACACAATGAATTTCTGGCTGACCTGGATGATGCCTAGTTATTTAATTTCATTTACGGTTCCACTATGATATTGCACTTGCAATTAATTGAATCCGTCATGTAAGAAAAAAGTTTTTAATCTCACTTGTTTGGGATTTGCTTTCAAAACGTGATTCGAAATGGTTGCGGTATTAGTAAACAAGATTTGTAAACATATCAGTGACAGCTAGAAAAATAATCTTGATCCGAACAGCTGTTCGTTATTTCATAGACGATTATGTGATAAAAATTGAACGAAAATTTGACAAAAACCGCACAAAACTGTATTTTTCAACGTCCGTAATTTTATTTACAAAGTAGTGAGGCCATATTTTAATCGCTAAAGACACTCTCGCCAATCCAGTGAATAAATTAAAATGACTTGGATCTTGATAGGTAGGCCTACTCTCGTTTTCATGGAGAAGATTGCGTAAAATGCCATCTTGAGTGTTACAGACAGACAGAAAGACAGACAAACAGAAATAGAGATATAACTTGTTTCTGCTTCTTTAATGTATAAAAAGTAAAAATAACCTAAAAATATATAATTCTGAGCAGTGTACGGACAAAACTCTAATTTTATTTATATAGATTCTTTTTAACTTAATCTCAGTTAAGTAATAATATACTTTTTCACCGTATAATGAAGTTTTAATAATTAATACACAATATTAAAACAAACATTAACTCGCCAATCTGGTTGATGTTGCTTAGTAATGGTATGGTAACCATACCTTCAAAATATTCATCATTCATAAGTTCAAAACATTCAATTATTGATAACTATCTTCTTTTCGGCATTAGTTCACTGTGTTTTACTGACCAATCATTTTGGTTTAAGGAATTTTTGTTTATCAGGGTGTCCACCAGGCCAACCAGAAAAAATCATGAGTAATTCATGAGTAAAAAAAAAAATCCAGGTAGTTTAGGTCGTACTTTTTATACTAAAATTTCCAACCTGTTTTGCGCCAACTCCCGCAATGCTGTTTTAGCGCTAACACAGCTCGCTATTTTAGTTATCGGAAAGAGCATTCTCAGTTAAAGAAACCAAATTTATGATTACTGTAATATTGCCTGACATAAGTATTCAATTTTTATTTATTTCTGATTAAATAATCCGAAAATTAAAAACTAATCCTTAAACCTGCAATTTATTAATAGCCTAACTTCTTAAAAATAGTGATATGTGGATACGGTACCAAAACGAATCTCTGTACAGACACCTGAAAAATAGATTCTTAATACTGATAATTTCAATTTTACCAAATTGTCTGAAGGATTACTACACCAACCCCTGTCTTTATGTACTTTCATATAGTATGTAATTTTGGAGTTGTTTTTCAAGTGGCCTACAGAAATAATGCAGAAATTACAAAAATTGCACATAGAAAATTTAAGTTTTAAACCCTTCAACACACATTAAATAAATACCACATAAAAGGTAAATGAAGATATTAAAAAAATATATAAAAATAAAACTTTCCAGAAGTGTATTTTTGGTCAAGCCAAACTCGAGGTTATGTCGTGATCATCTAACACAGTCGTAGAGACACTATCATCGTTTTCTGCGATAACTGAAAAATCCTGAATATCCCACTCAGTAACAGAAACATCACCACTGTCTTCCGTGATCGTCACGGAAACGTCATTGTCATCTCCCGCGGTCAAGGTAACGTCATCGTCGTCTCCCACGGTCACGGAAACGTCATCGTCGTTTCCTGTGGTCGCGGAAATGTCATCGTCGTCTCCCGCGGTCACGGAAACGTCATCGTCGTTTCCTGTGGTCGCGGAAATGTCATCGTCGTCTCCCGCGGTCACGGAAAAGTCATCGTCGTCTCCCGCGGTCACGGATACGCCAATGTCGTCATGCGCGATCGCGGCAAAATCACTAACAAGTCCCACGGCAGTTGGACATCATCATTGTCTTCCGCTTTCAGGGAAACGTCATTGTTGTCTCCCGCGGTCACGGAAACGTTGTCTACACCCGCTATTACGGAAACGTCATCGTCATCTCTCGCGGTCACGGTAACGTCATAGTCGTCATGCGCGATCGCGGCAAATTGAAAATTCCCGTTGAAATACGAAATTCACGCATAATTCCCGGATTTCCCGGTCGGTGGACAACCTGTTTATGTTATATAATACTGGGTTAATTTTATGGTGTGGTGAAAAAATGGTTTTGAACCTCATGCAAGCATTCTGTTTAATTTTGGTGCAAAATATTTGCTACTTTTCTGGCAAACCTAGCGCATTCATCTATTAAAGAGATGGTAGACAGGAGATACCCATCATTCTGATTTAATCTGAGTGCAAATATCAGGAAACAATTTAATCTGGTAGAAGCATTTTTATATATTACCAGTAAGTACATAATAAATATAGGATTCTTTATTTTGCTAAAAAGTAAAAAAAACAAATCCTATGTAACTTAAACATTGAACCCATTGTGACATGGATTTTTGCATTAACAACATGAAAAGCATGGGTTTTAAGCTATTTTTTATTACCTAATGTGCTGCTTAGTAAATAATTTTTGTTACATAAGCCATTAGGCCTACAGAAGAAAACTAATTAAGCATAACATGCTTTGCATAATTTCGTGTCTTCCAAAACTTATAAATTGTACTTAAATATTTGCATCTGATTGGATTGATAAGTTAGTTTATCTTAACATATTATCTAGACAAGTCCTTAAATAATATGAAATTTTCTAATACAAAAATGTCTATATAAGTTCATTACTTTAAGGCTTTCCGCAAAAATTTACTCAAAACATAGTATAATAGTTCTATATAACAAAATTAATAACAGAGCTCTAGGAAAAAACAAAAATAGTAAATTAGGAAAATAATTATTTATTCAAATAATATAAACTACAATGAAACAAACATTAAAACTTAAAAAAAATTTATGAAACAAATTTTAGAAATCATATAAATAATAACATTCAATAATAAAAAATGAATGTGCCCTAGTGTATGTCCGAACCTATCAAAATCTATTTACCTGACAACATTTTGAACACTCATATGGACATCATCTTAAACTTGTGGGAAAATTTACAATCAGATGAAGATTTATAGTCAAAGAAAAACTATACAACCAAACATGTTATTAACAACACTGGCCCTTTGGTTGTAATGAATTAGAGACTATGTTTTCAATCCCATGACATAATTGCAGAATTTTCCATGTTCCAAAACTTAAAGTGGTACAGTATATTGAAATTATTTAAATTAAGATAACAAAATTAAATCAGCATTATATCATACATTAATTAAGGAATCATATTTATAATTGTAAATTAAGAGAAATTACAGTATTTATAACTAAACAAATGTTTAAAGCTAATTTTAATGATTAGTAAGTACAAAGCCAAAAAATTAATACAATACCTAATAAAGATACCAAATACAATAATTAAATTTACCCAAGGAATGTATAAAAAAACAGAAAAATTCTTATAAAATTAACTGAGAAAGATTATGAGATTCTGTAGTAAAATATACATGAATACACATTTGACATAATTAAATGATAACATGTTAATGTCATCAAAATATTTTATTAATAAGCTCTTTTTCTTTTATTTTAATAATTTCACTTAAAAAGTTGATTCTTCATCAAATAGATACCTTTGCATAAAGTATGGCAAGGACTGGAAAATAATAAATAATTTAGCAACTACGTAATCACAGATACAGTGGTAACAGCAACAGGGGAACACTACAACATGGATTACATAGAGTAACACCCATGCTTGACTCACTTATCACAGCCGAGGTAGAGCCCATTCTTGTGGATGTACTCTATGACTGGATCACTGACCAGATACTTGATACTGTCACCACGACGCAACGCTCTCCGAATCTTGGTAGAACTGATCTCATTTGAGATCCATTCAGGCACTATGTGTATGTTTTTCTGCAGACAAACAACAGTTTATTTACCTTAAAACCTCAATATTTAGGCCATACTGTCAAATTTTATAAAACGTGTGGACACAACCAAATTGTGCTTACTTAACTAATAACTGAAAAAAATAAAACCTGTAAATAAAATGTATAAACACCCTAGAGTTGTGTATATAAATGTAGGTTTGTATAAAGATTAGATAAATTAAAAAGAATGTAAAATTAAAATATTATGTTAATATTTTTATTTAAAATGTAAATTAAATTTTTTTATAAATTTATTTATTTTTAATTCACATTTGTAACCATTACTAGTTTACTAATTTTGAACTCACAGTTCCACCAATCTGTCCCTTATAAATAATATTTTCAAACCTATTCAATACAATGTTGCATAGATTGGGAAAGCACAGACCATTCAAGACAAGGCAACGTCTTAAGAGATTACAATATTTAATACTAAAACTAACATGAAATATTAGTTTTAAAACAATGGCAACCAATGGAAAAAATAATACTTAATACATAATGGTTTCCTGTAAAATATTCCTTTTCCTCACCTGATATTTAGAGAGAAGATCTGATTCATAAACAATCTTGGAGGCATTAATATTTTCCCTTGTTATGACAACCAAACCATGTTCTCCTACTATCGTTTCAATCTGAAAGAAATTTTGAGTTATTAAAACAGTGTATTTAAGAGGGGGAAAAGGGGGTAAGGGAGGAAGTTAAAAAAATTGTAGTTGTGGTTTTTATGACATGTTTGAAAACTGTGTACGGTATAGCGCAAAATTTGTCATTAAATAAAATAATCGACAATAAATTTGTAAGAAGAATCATTAGGGAGGGTCAAAAAAATTCTTGGAAAAGTTGCTAAATTGTAAGACAAAAACAGGGTAAAAATATTAAAAATATTGGTTGTTCTCTTACGTTTGTGCATGTGCTCTAAAGTGTAAACAAAAAATTAAAAACTCATATTTTATCAGAAATTTTTAAAATTTAAAATTTTTGATTTTTAACATGTAATCATTGAGAATATCATCTACAAGACACAGAAAAGAAATTGATATTTAAATAATAGTGTTGTATGTTAATATTTTCCAGCTGCGCATCGGCTGCAAATATTGCCAAAAATCAAGAAAAACACCATTTTATACGTCTTATTTAAAATATAATAATCGATATCAAAATGTAATACCAAAAAACTGTTTGTACACATTCAGATAGTAACTTAACAAAAACAACAAACGAAGTCAGAATTGATCTTCCGGTCGCGCATAGCAATACAAATTCACTTTAGCGCGGCACTTTTGGGTCAGTGACCAGGGCGACGTCATGTGATTCCGAAGCTGAAGATTAAATTGAACAACAGGATGGTGATGATAATGTATCCCTGTGCTCACAAACCTAAAATTTACGATTTTAGTGACAGCAACCAAGAATATTTACCTAAACTTTCAAAAAGACCTATGGTAGGCAAATGAGGATGGACTTTGACAGTAAGCCTGAACCAGTGTTGGGGAAGCTACTTTTAAAATGTAGCTAGCTACAACTACTGCTACATTTCCAAAAAAGTAGCTTAGCTACAGCTACAGCTACAGTTCCGAAAAAGTAGCTAGCTACAACTACAGCTACAATGAAATGTAGCTACAGCTACAATTTTAGCTACTTTTCCATAGACGTTACGCACAATAGGTAAATGTAAAATTAATTGCAACTACATTTTTATTGAACAAACATTTAAACAAAAAATGTCAGTATTGTATCATTGACTATTAGGCCTATATACCTACAGGTATATATTATAGTCAATGATTGTGTCTAACATTACTTGGAAAACAAATTATTCCTAGATTATATTTAATTTGTTGGCATTATATACCTAACATTAAAACAACAGAACCAAATAGTTGGGTTTCCCATCATATTTAGTACTTATTTTCAAATATTGCATTATTTTTAAGCATCTTATATGTAAATTTCATTAAGTTCAAAGGACATAGGCCTACAACCAAACTATATTTTAAAAGCTCATTTTATTTCTTTAATGTAGATTCATTTATAGATGTCTTGTATAAACAATTAAGACCAATAAAACTGTAAAACGATTATTTAAAAATACTTGTTGGTGTTACAGAGCCTAAGTTAGCCTCCTGAAATTGGAGTTTTATGCCTTTCTTAACTTTTAATGTTAAAAACTACATTGTTACAACTTTTAACCATAGTGATAAGTTACTTTTTCTATGAATAACACTTTTCAATGTCAAGAAATCGTCCTTTATTGTTGTATTATGCATAGGGCAAATTGCAAATTGTGCTTCAACCTAGTTGGTACAGAAAACAGTATTCAGCAACTTATCCTGAAATCGGCTTTTAATTTAAACATGTGGAAATTTGTAAAGTAAAAATAACATATAGGCCTACTTGGCTATGTAACAAGTTGGCTATAGTAGGCTTGTTCTTGCAAGGACTAAACAGATATATTCCTAATAATTGAACTTGGAACTCGGTATTCGTCTTAAACCATAGCATAGCCTAGGAATAGTCTTATACAAGAGCTGTTAGCAGGAGCAAACTATGCTATTTTTTCAACGTAAGTTTCATGTTATATGGAGATTTTTCGTTACAATTATCATTTAGTCTAGGCATATCTTAAATCACATCAGGTAATTTCTTCTTTGTTAATTTAGTAAACCTTTGAAAAATCTTCGTAATCTAACCAAGGAAGGGCTTGTGATGATGAACTACAATCAACAGCTGAAGCAAAGGTTGATAGACCAGCTTTTTCATTATTTTAAGGTTTAGTGTTGGTTTCCATTAAAACCCAAGTTGAAACACTATCGATATAATAAAGAAACTAAATTGATTACTAATTTCCCTGTCAATCACTTGCAAGCATTCAATAACTTCTCTTGTCACCGCCCACCGGTAACGTTTAAAAGTCGTCTGCATCTAGCGATCTTATTTAGGTGAGCGAAATATCATACAGAGCAGAGCAGGTATGATGACGTCTTTGTTCATACGATCGATAGCTAAGCTAGTCTTTCGATGTGGTTAGTTGGTGCTCGATAGTTTTAGTTTGTTGTTATCGAATAAGTTATAGCAGCTTTGCATTGCATTTGCATCATACCGTACCGTACCTTTCCTGTAAATGAAAATAGCTTTTAGGAAATATAAATAAATAAATATGGAGGTCCAGGTGATAGATAATAAATCCAGTTGGTCTATCAACAAATCACGGAATACATTTAAACACTTATTTAAAATAATATTGTTTACAGTTTTTAAATTTCTGAGTGAACTGCTTGTTCACTATGTTGATCAGCTCTAGAGTTAATTTATTCAATCCAATAATTTGAACTACCCAGTTGTTTTCAAGTAAATCTTAAAAAGGTACTTACTTTAGTAAATTAAAACATAATTAACACAACTGAATTTATTGAACTCACAAATCAGACTAAACTAAAAAGTAAACAAAACATAATAATATAAACAGTCATCTGACAGATGTTATAAATAAAACATATGGACTTATTTCTTGATACATAACACTCCTCCCCCCGTTAGGTAGTCCTTCAGATATGCCGGTGGTCGACGGATACGAACAGGTCGAGGACTCATGCTCATTGAAGTGTTTTGGGAGTTTGATCTAGAGACACGTGACCGAACAGGTTGTGGACTCGTGCTCATGCTAGTGGAGTCTTGAATTAACCCAGAAACGTTGAAACCAGCATCTTCTTGATGAGGGTTAATTGAACCTTCTATACCGCTAAATGAATTGCGAGATTGTTGCATCACTGATGGTCGCATTGGTTGTACGTCTGGTGTTCTCATCATAATAGGATTGCGAACCATTGATGGTGGTTGCACTGGAGTGATATGATGTGCTTCTGGTGTTCTCATTTGAATAGGATTCTGGAGTAGTGGGTGGAATGGTGGGTTTACTGGAGATTCAGGATTATCCAAGTGTGAGTTAGTAGATGCTTTTGATGTTTCTGAGCGAGGTCTCAATTGGTCAATATGACGTCGTATTTCAATGCCTTCTTTTGTTATCAAATGGTAGCTCAGCGGCCCGGTTATTCTAGTGACTTTAGCAGGAATCCACTTTGGTCCTCGCTGATTATAGTTTCTTGCAAATACAGAGTCATTTTCTTTAAATTTCCTCTGAGGTGACTGTTGGTAATCGTGAAGCGCTTTATCCAAGATTTTCTCTTCTTTGTCACTTGAAGAATAATCTGGGTGAACTCTGTCTAAGATGGTTCTAATACGCCTTCCGAACAGCAGTTCACTCGGTGACATATTAGTAGAACAATTTGGCGTTATATGAGATGATATTAGGAACTGAGCCAGTCTTTTTTGCCAATCTCCTTGAAGTATTCGTCGCAAAGAATTTTTTGTCGTTTGGACCATCCTTTCTGCCTGACCATTCGATGACGGATGGTATGGTGCAACCACGACGTGGCGGATGCCATTGCTTTCATTAAACGATCGAAATTCTTGTGAAGTGAAAGCCGACCCGTTATCAGATACTATTGTGTCTGGAACACCATGTGTTGCGAAAAGGCTTCTGAGGACCTTTATAGTTGATCTTGAATCTGTAGAAGGCACCAAAACTACTTCTAACCATTTGCTGAAAGAATCGACAACAATCAAAAACAACTTGTTTTGGAAGGGCCCAGCGAAATCTATGTGGAGACGAGACCAGGGTTGTTTCGTTTTCTCCCAGGGAAGAACTGTTGCTCTTGGAGGGTTGTGACGACTTTGTTGACATGCTTGACAAGAATTCACTATGTTTTCTATGTCTTGATCAAGTTTTGGCCACCAGAAATAGCTTCGAGCCAACGCCTTTGTTCGAACAATGCCCTCATGTCCCATGTGTAGAAGCTTCAGAGCTTGTTGCCTGAGAGTGGATGGAATGATCACCCTAGTTCCCCAAAGTAAACATTGTTTGTATTGAGAAATTGAATTTTGATGAGAAATGAAAGGCGTAAGGTTGAGATCTGAGTTATGAGTTGGCCAACCACGTTGAGTCCATAATAGTACTTTAGATAGAAGTGGATCCTTTTCTGTTTCTTTTGCTATTATATTAGCGGTGATTGGTTTAACCTCATCGGATTCAATGTATAGCACGTCATTCAAGACTTCATTTATCTCTTGATCAACAACATTGGAGGAACATGGAAGACGACTCAAACCATCAGCATTCGGAATAGAAATCCCCGGTTTGTATACAAGATCAAAGTCATATCCATTTAAAAGGATACTCCAGCGAATCATTCGAGGTGACAGTGTGTTTGGTGTTTGTTTATCCACAGTGAAAAGACCCAGAAGTGGCTTATGATCTGTTCTAATTTCAAAACGCCTCCCATATAAGTAATTGTGGAATTTTTTAACCCCTCCAATGATGGAAAGTGCTTCCCTATCTACTTGAGCATATCTTCGTTCTGACTGACTCATTGTCCTGGAATAAAACGCAATTGGAACTTCCTTTTCCCCTCGAACCTGACTAAGCACACAACCAATACCATAAGGAGATGCATCACAAGTTAGTATAAGATGGCTGGAGGGATTGTAATGAGCCAGTATACTATCGGAAGAAAGGAGCTTCTTTGAAGCATTGAAAGCAAGTTTATGTTTTTCCTCCCACCGCCATTTAACATTT